TTTCTTTTCCATTGTTCCAAAAATCCCATTTCTCCAACCAAATTGACAAGGAACTCTCACATTCCGCGGACACGAAAGTAGGTCAGGCGTTCTGACCGATATCTGGTATTTTATCAATCGTCCGTCTTGATATCATGTCTTTTTCCTTTTCTTTCTCTGAACTCTATTCTTTCAAATAACAATTTCTATTGTTCGTGAATTTCGGTCAGGCGCGTTGGCCTAGATATCTCTTGACACCTGTTTTCGCTTATGACCGGGTTTTGTATTATCTATTCCTCTTTCTCTTTCTTTTTTCTTTCTTTCTTTTTTTTTTCCTTCTTCTTCCCTTCGGATCGCCTAAATACAATTAGAGAATTATTCTCAAAACTCAATTATTCTTCGTCTAAATAACTAACAACTGGTTAATAAACCGAATAAAAATTAAATCATATTTCTATGGATATCTCTTTTTAGTTTTTCTAATAATGCAGGGTGCCACATTCGTATGCCCATTCCACAAAGTCGTTCCTTGCAGATTGACCACAGATTCTCGATTGGATTTAAACCAGGAGAGTTTCCAACCCAGTCTATAGTACTTTGATTTGCTCACTGGTAAGGCTTGCCAGTGTCTTCGTGCAAGCGTTACAATTTTCGTACGCTTCTTTGGAATAACGTCCATCGCAGACAATGGCCGTAGGGCAACTAATCGACAGTCGAGACAATAGTGTCTGGGAGGGATGAAAATCTGATTCAATCACGGATGACGCAATATTTTTCAAGGCCAAATAAATTTCATCATATACCGAGAAAATAGATTCATATTACTGCACACCACTGCAAATGACCTAATCAGAGGAAAAATAGAAACCGTCTATACCCTATCGCTCCAGAGAGTTGGAGCGAGACCAAATAGGAGTGATAGAGGAAAGGATGAAGATAAGGATAGGGGATAGATCAAGGAGATCTGGAGATGTCGATTGACATTCCATTTGAATAGCTGGAGATTATAGCTATCAGGGAAACAAGAAATGGGGATGGAGTTCCACAGGCGAGAAGTGCGAAACGTGAAGCTATTGGAGTAGAAGAGACGGCTACATTTAACAGTTTTGACAGTGAAAGGGTGAGAGCGAGATGCCAGCCTAGTTGAACGCTTAAATTCATGAAGTTTCGGAACCAGCGAAAGCAGCTCATCGGAGCAGTTACCATGAAAGTATTTGTAAAAAAGACAGAGGGAGGCGACTGCACGTCTATGAGAGTGCGACTGCAGACGAGATGCCAGATCAGGGCCAATTACATTGCATATCCGTCTCTGGATTTTATCAGGGGCCCCAAGACAAACATAAGGAGCACCAGACCATATATGGCAGCAATACTCCATGCAAGGACGAATGGTTGATTTGTAGATTTGAAGGAGAGAAAAATTTCCTGGCACGACACAGGGAGCGAAAGTTATCATGATGTGTAATTACGATAGTAAAAATGAGAAGGCCTGAAGTAGAAGAAGCAGACGGTTATCCACCGTGACGTGGGCAGAGAGAAGTTGGCGCAGCCTACAACATAATGTGGCCTCAGGTTTGCCTGCTCACGATATGAATATCCTGCCATTGCACTTGTCAATTAACTCACTATGACACAGGTTACACGTTCAAGAGAGACTAGCCATAGATATACACGAATGACAAATGTAACCTAGACTATATGGCAACACAGTGTCATCTACCGTAAACTTTCTTTAAATTTAATAACTCAAAAACGAAGGATTTGCGGACATATGTTTATATGGAATTTTGTCCGTGTTTTGGTGTTAAGGGACCCCCCACAAAAAAAGAAAAATTGGTAAAAGTATTTTTGATACACACGGTATATATATACAGAAATTTATATTTATATATTTTATTTTAATCAACTCCCTCAAGAAAGGCGATAATGCCGCTAAGACGCAAGACAGTTGTTCTTTTAGTAGAACATCTTGTGTAAGAGTCATTGCAGTTTCCTTTCTGAGTCTGCTATCAAAATCTGTGATTTTATATTGTGAGAATTCTTCTTCTTTGTCGACTACTCTATCGTCCCCGGGACATCGAATATCAATGATGATTGGGACAATAAAATAAGCACATCCCATCCCATCTCGCTCTTCTAACCACCCACGTTAATCAAATAATCGTTTTTATTGATAAAGCTTCATAACCTTCTACCTAAGAGTTGTTACTATATAACAATGATGAATGTTATTGTTTTATCTGCCAACGTAACTTGGCTCCTATTATTATTATTATTATTATTATTATTATTATTTCCTTTGATTTCTGGTTCGTACTCATTTCTTTCCGGTTCCCACCCAGAGATCGAGGTTAGAAATGGCATCATGACATTTTCCCGTGACGAACTAAAAAAAAAAAACACATATTTTACATAGATAAAGCCCTTCGTAAGGTGTGGACTGTACTCGTGAGAAAATTTTTTTGTATTTCTTTAAGGCATGGGTTTCCAAGAATCCCTTCAATGAGTCTACTGGAATCTTTTCCAACCAATCCGAGGGCTCCAACTACAACATTTTTGAGATTTCGATTTCGATTTCAAGGTCCTTGTATTTTGATAGCTTTTTGAAGATCTTCAAATATATATTGCAGTCTGCAGGGACTGCCATATCAGTAAGGAGGCACTTATTTGTTTGTGGTCTCTAATAACAATGTCTGGGCCGTAAGCTTTGATTGTTCTGGCAGTATGTATTGTGTAGTCCCATAAAATTGTAACAGGTCCTATCTCCGTAACCGGTGTTCATGCCAATTTCTTTTTCAGTTTCCTTTCCGTAGAAGTTGCATATTTTCCAGTGCAGATATTGGCTTTAATCTATCATTCCTGGTTTTATAATTAGTGGGTGCCAATACCGTGCAAACTGATACAAGATGATTTTTTCTGGATATTTATCACAGAATCTGCATTTTAGGCTAACACAATATTGTAGTATATGTGCTTGATAATTTGTAGTTAACATAATGCCGCTTATTATTATTATTATTATTATTATTATTATTATTTGTAATTGCTTATTTTCATGCAATTTTTCTGAAGTGTCATTTGAAAAGTGACATCCAGTTTGTTAATGATCCAACACTTTTGCAAATAACCTTGCTGCATTTATCAGCACAATGCACTGAGTGCCTTATATGCATCAAATTTGTTCTTCATTCGAGCTTTTAGTCCTCGTCAGGATTTAACAGCATTATTGATAACTTCATTATTATTATTATTATTATTATTATTATTTCCTCAGCTTGCTCGTGTATACACATTTCCTTCCGGGATCCAACCAGAGACCTGAGATCAGAAATGGTATCATGACATTTTCCACTAATCATTTTGTTAAAAAAAACAAAAAAACTAAGATAAATCCCTTCGTAATGTGTGAGCTGTACTTGTGAGTACAATTCTTTTGTATTTCTTTAAGGCATGGGCTACCAGGAATTCTTTCAATGAGTCTATTAGAACCATTTTCCAATCAATCCGAGGACTACAACTGGAATTATTAATGTCCTCATGTACCACATATTTTTTAATTTCCACTTTAAGATCTTTGTATTTTTGATAGATTTTTCAAGATCTTCAAAGATATTATTATTATTATTATTAACAGTCTACCCCACCGAGCGAAATAAAGGGTTCAGTTCGACATTCCAACCACTTGAAGAACGCCGGAGTGTGCAACGGCCGAAACGTTGTGATAAATATGGCAACAAAGATGAGGAAACTAGTCCGAATAATATAAATAGAATTTCATGGGACTTTACAATATACACAGAGAGAACAATCAAAGCTAATCCCTCAGACATCTTGATCAAAGACCACAAGAATAGAATGTATTTTCTTGTTGACATGGCAGTCCCAGAATATTGCAATATATCTTTGAAGATCTGGAAAAACTATCAAAATACAAAGATCTTAAACTGGAAATTTAAAAAATGTGGCACATAGCGACATCATTAATTCCAGTTGTAGCCCTCAGATTGATTTGGAAATGGTTCTAATAGACTCATTGAAGGAATTCCTGGTAGCCCATGCCTTACAGAAATACAAAAAAATTGTACTCTCTGATCTTTGTATTTTGATAGTTTTTTTCAAGATCTTCAAAGATATTATTATTATTATTATTATTATTATTATTATTATTATTATTATTATTTTCTTGGATTTCTGTTGTATACACATTTCCTTCCGTGCCTCAACCAAAGACCTAGAGTCAAAAATGGCTTCATGACATTTTCCGATGATCATTTTTGTAAAAAAACAACAAAAAAAACCCTAAGATCCCACACATTTTACATAGATAAAGCCCTTTGTAATGTGTGAGATGTACTTGTGAGTACAATTTTTTTTTTTTTTGTATTTCTATAAGGCATGGGCTACCAGCAATTCCTTCAAAGAATCTATTGGACGTTTTTCCAATCAATCCCAGGGTTCCAACGACAACTGGAATTACTGATGTCCTCATGTGCCACATTTTAGAGATTTCCAATTCAAGATCCTTGTATTTTGATAGTTTCTTAAAGATCCTCAAAGATATTATTATTATTATTATTATTATTATTATTATTATTAAATTTATACTTTAAGTAAAGTGATTTAAACATGAGAATACAAAATAAATAAATAATAAAATCGAAAGCCGATTTACAACAGAACTTTTTCTAGGGTCACGCAATCCTTGGTTAAATGTACCAACATTTTAATCACACAAAGTGTCATCGATTTTCAAGTTCTGTGACTGATATAGCAAGAATTACAATTGCATAAGATTTTCTTCGTTTTCGGCATCAGCCTTGCGCATTTTTTTCTTTATTCTTGACAACTTGCTCCTCATTTACACTTTCTATATCCTTGTGTCCATGTCTTCATTTCTTTTCTTTTCTTTATAAGCCTTGGGACCTGACCACAGATCAAGTTCTCTCTCGTTGAGATCAAATGTATGATAGCGACATTTTTTTCCGGGTACTGCATATCTTAGAATTGATTCACCCAGTTACTTACACGCACAAATATATCAGGGTAATTAAAGAGGGGTGAACGATATTAGACAGATATACAGAGAGAGTGAGAAAAGAAAAAGAGAGATGAACAGAGATATAGAAATGGACAGACTGAATAAATAATGAATAAGCAAATATAGATAGATAGACACACAGACAGAGACTAAGATAGATAGATAGATAGATAGATAGATAGATAGATAGATAGATATAAACAAACTCAGATAGATACATACATACATACATACATACATAAAGACTTAGATAGATACATACATACATACATATATACATACATACAGTCGGAGATAGATAGATAGATAGATAGATAGATAGATAGATAAACAAATTACTAAAGAAATAATGAAATTCCCAAACTACCCTGAATATTTTTTTTCCAAAATGAATCAAAGAAATGTACCTCTTGAAAGTGATGAATATGAAATCAGTTGAACTGTCTTCCTCTATAATAGAGGGGTCTTTAAAGACAGCATTGATTTCAACAAGTTTATCTCTTCCCTGACCCAGTCGACATTAACGAAGCAAAAGATTCTTGACAAAGTCCATGAGAGATCCAGGACTCCGTTTATTTTTCTCTCGTCTCTATCAGTTTCAATTTGTTAATGAAAACTTTATCGTCTTCTGTCTTTCATACACGCACACATCTCAAAATACCGACAAACATTCAATTTGATTACCTAATCAAGCAAAAGTGATATTGGGAGACATTTTGAGTCATTTTGTAGTCATCTGTTATATATATATATATATATATATATATATATATATATATATATATATATATATATATATATATATATATACTCAAGGATAGGATTGGTGTATACAGAATAAATTCCAATAGCTCAAAAATACTATTCTTAAAAGATTGTTCAATACAGAGTATAGCAACTAAAATTTATTCGTAAATTATAACATAAATATGTTATCACTTGATAAGACAGCAGAAGTGTTGAAATGGCTATTTTTGTAGTGACTTTTTAATGTATTTGTTCAATAAATCATATATATATATATAAGTCAGTATATATATATATATATATATATATATATATACTTCTACATTTAGGCAGCAATCTTTCCTTTATGCATGTTTCATTAAAAACGACAGACAAGGTACTACAGTTAAGCTTTTTATTTAATTTTTCTTGTGTTCGAGCAATGAGACTATTTCTCCTCAAAGCAAGTAATAACGATAGTGAACACACAGCCAAAAATCACATACACATTTATTACAAAAACCAAATGCATATTAATTACAAACAAGACGAATCTTCTCTAAGGTATATTATAAAGAAATATCCTACTCCAATTGACCCGAAAAAAAAAACAAATTAATTATCTATGATAAAAAAGATAGCTAACCTTATCCTCAAAAATAACAACACACCAGCTAAGTCAAAATTACAAAGAACGAACATTATCTATGAGTTCAAATGCCTCTTAAGGAACTGTGATTCCTGATCAAACCGGACTCATAAATAATTACATCGGTTACACAACCACATTCTTATCCAGACGTCTTACGTTACACCTATCTGATCACAGCTCCATTAGAACCCATTTAAACACACGCACAAATTTACCAGAAACATTCTAGTAGAAAAAAAACAAATATATTAACTGCATCCACCTGCAAAAAAAGACTAAAAATAAAGAAAGCTTTAATAATAAAAAAGAAAAAGCCAACTCTTAACAATATTAACTACGAACAAAGCCACAATGTGCTAACCGTATTCAGAAATTAATAACATCCCTACCACACGCTAAGACATACACAGAATGCACACACTCAATTAAGCTGAAAAATAGAATCATCCTTGATAATAGCTAAAGGTATAGCAATCGCTATCACTTGACTTAAAATATTTTTGCCCTTCCTTGCCTTTGTCAAATAGAATCTTCCTGCCTATTCGTGGCAGCCAGCTATTGGGTCTCACTCTGGCCAGTAGAAAATGGCCGCAAACTACATGAAAACTGTCATAGAAGCATGAAAAAATCGATTATTTCCACTATCGATGGGAGTTGGGAAATGCAAAGTCGGTCTTGTCTTTCCGCTAACTTGGAGCATGTGCATGTAAATTTTATATATCAGTCAGTCAGTTATGTGCCATGGGTGATACACGCTTAGGCAATCATGCATCTTTCGATACATGACTAACAAGGCAGATTTTTTTTCCCGCAGTAGGTTACCATTTCTTTCTGCGATAAACCAGTTGCCATCCAAGACTATAGAATCCGGTCTGTCTTGCTATTTACCCATAGTTGAGAGAGAATAAGAGGATTCATACCTTTCACAAGGGTAATAATTAGCATGTAAGTGAATGAAATGGATTCGACTGGAATTCGAACTCGGCTCTCTGATTCCTCTGTCCGAGCCACTATTCATTACTTCACTCCTTTTATATATATATATATATATATATATATATATATATATATATATATATATATATATATATATATATATATGTATTATTATTTATAAAAAAATGTATAACATAAGTATGCTTTAAAATCACTACAAAAATAGCCTCGGTGTCTTATCAAGTGATGATGTTGAAGATAAAATAAATGATTTTAAAAGTTTCAAATTAATTAACGATCCTATACTAGGGGGAAACATTGTTACAAAAGCTAGAATAACTAATCAAAAACCAAGTATAGAAAGATTCAAAAGCTTGACAACGAAATCATGTTATAATCGCTATTCAGATCTTTAAAATACGTGTAATATTAAAAATAATTTATACTAACCAATAATTATAAAATTTAATATTAAAATTAAAAACTGGCAGTTTTAAAATCTAAATTTAATCTCTATAAGTTTAAAAACTACAAAATTATTGAGAAAAGAAAAAATATATATGTTTATTCAATTCATTTCTTCATTGAAATTACGTTCGACAAGACGCTACAATATATCCGGTCATTTGACAATACATGTATATATATTTTTTATTCTAAAGTGTGTGAATGTGGTCTTATATATATATAATATCAATTATTAGCACTATCAGCATAGTCACAATCGTCAATGGTACACAGTCAGTCAGCGTTGAAAATATTTTCAATAATAATGGAAGAGGAGAAATACAGAGAAGAAAGCACGAATATTCTAGACATAGAAATAAAAGAAAATCTGTGGAATCTACCAATCGAAATGATCTGAAACGTGGTTGCGCTAAGAACACCTGAAAAGTGAAACAGAATCTCTAATCTAATGTTAACTGAATATGTTTTAGCATCTACGTCTTCTTTCATTCGTCTTGTCCGGTCAGAAACTGCGTGATAATGGCTCTCCACAACTTCCAAGCTTTTGTTACTCTAATGAGCCTTTGGCCCTTTTTTAGAGAAAATTATTAATTAAAATATTTCAGATATTTAGAAATATGGTTTTGGATGAATAAAAGAGGAGAAATTTTAGAGTAGAAAACACGAAAAATTAGAAACCAAAAATGAGGGAAATTGAGAATCCAATATACAAATTGACCTGGACATGCCTGGGCAAAGAACACCAAAAAAGGGAAATGAATTCTCTATTCGTGACAGCTGAAAATGTGCCTATCGTATAAAATTCTATGCATAAAATTTCGCCTGGACTACAAAAATAGATAGGTTTTTGTATGAACTATGCTGTATTGAAAATTACGTAAATGAATTAAATTTAATGATACAGACAAAATTCAAAAAACTGCACGAAGAATACCTGCAAATTAAAACGGAATCCCTGTGTATAGCAGTTCAAACAAATTGTATCAGTAGAATTGAAACAATATGTATCAATAGAATTCAAATAAAAATGTATCACTAGAAACGAAATGTATCAGTAGGATTAAAACAAAAATGTATCACTATAACTGAAACAAAAATGTATCACTAGAATTGAAACAAAATGTCTCAGTAGGATTAAAACAAAAATGTATCACTAGAACTGAAACAAAAATGTATCACTAGAATTAAAACGAAATATATTAGTAGAATTGAAGCAAGAATGTATCACTAGAATTGAAACGAAATGTACCAATAGAATTGAAACAAAAATGTATAACTAGAACTGAAACAAAATGTATCAGTAGAATTGGAACAAAAATGTATTAGTAGAATTGAAGAAAGAATGTATCACTAGAATTGAAACAAAAATGTATCACAAGAATTGAAACAAAATGTATCGGTAGAATTGAAACAAAAATGTATTAATAGAATTGAAACAAAAATGTATCACTAGAATTGAAAGGAAATGTATCAGTAAAATTGAAACAAAAATGTAACACTAGAACTGAAATAAAAATGTATCAGTAGAATTGAAAAAAAATGTATCAGTAGAAGTGAAACGAAATGTCTCAGTAAAATTGAAACAAAATGTATCAGAAGAATTGAAACAAAATGTATAAGCAGTATTGAAACAAAAATGTATCAGTAGAATTGAAACAAACTGTATCAAATGAAAACAGATAACACGCTATCATTCCTCTTCGTTATTCATAGTTCAAACTTTCAATTGCATAAGAGGTGAATGCATCCAACTGGCTCAAAAAGACTACACCAACGACTGGATAGTTACGGTGATATACTGGGCACTGCACAAATGACTAAGATTTGATTATGTTTCCTTTGTGACTTTGAAATTCCATAGAATCACCCAATCCAAGAGAGAAGACAAGATTTACACATTTTAAGCACAAATACTTTGTCGACAATTCTTCGGACATTAAAAGTTGTAAAAAATTGAAAAACTGAGAACCATTAAAATTGGGAGACATAAAAATATACATTTATGCCCATGAGGATGGGCGCCCGTCTAGGGTAAGGCGATAAACTACATCCGCGTCCTGGGCATGACGATAAACTACATCCGCCTCCTGAGTAAGGCAATAAACTACATTTGCCTCCTGGGTAAGACGATAAACTACATCCGCGTCCTGGGTATGACGATAAACTACATCCGCCTCCTGAATAAGGCAATAAACTACATTTGCCTCCTGGGTAAGACGATAAACTACATCCGCGTCCTGGGTATGACGATAAACTACATCCGCCTCCTGAGTAAGGCAATAAACTACATTTGCCTCCTGGGTAAGACGATAAACTACATCCGCGTCCTGGGTATGACGATAAACTACATCCGCCTCCTGAGTAAGACGATAAACTACATCTGCATCCTGGGTAAGACGATAAACTACATTTGCCTCCTGGGTAAAACGATAAACTACATCCGCACCCTGGGTAAGACGATAAACTACATCCGACAATAATGCCTCTGATCAGGATGATGTGAGGAGCGTGGAACCACCTCTTAATTGTTGATGTTTCCAGATCCACCCTGACTCG